CAGCAAATAATGAATTGAAAAAAGATTTTTTTAAAACATTGAAAAACGTTTTTAAAAACATTTTTAAAAACGTTAAAAATGGGATAAGTGATCCTTTTTTCATTAAAAAGAAAAACATTTATTTTAACGTTTGAAGAAATATTGTTTTAATGTTTGGGAAACATTTACCAATTTAACATTAAATAAATGTTTTTTCAAATCATTATTACAAATAAAAAATTAATGTAACATAAATATAACATAAATATTAAGTAAATATCAAATAAATATTTTTTCAAATTATTATTGCAAGTAAATTATTAATGTAAAATAAACATTAAATAAATATTAACTGAACTAATGGTTTCTTTCTGAAATCATTATTTCAAATAAATAATTAATATAAAATAAATATTTAATAAACAATAACATTAAATACATATTATTGTTATAATGAGTAGGTACAAAATAAAACTAATGAATAATTAATATTAAAAAAATATTTAAAAAAGATTGTTCTGATTGGAAAGATCATTGTTACCGAGAGTGAAAATAATATATGCACTTTATATTATGCAGTTATTATGTATTATGAAAAATCGGCAGATAGAAAAACAAAATATTAAATAATAGACAAAAATAATGAAAATGGAAAGATTTTGTTTGTTATCGATATATATTAAAAATAGAAAAATGACATTAATGTGTGTCAAATATATAGAAATTTAATTATATTTTTGTGATCAAGAACCGAGCACCTACCTTGTTACTAGACCGTACTGTCCGTTGTAGATGTGTTCTCTACTCATGCGATAGTAATGCATGGGTTCCAGAGAAATTCGTGTTGGCCATTTACCTTGCAACTTGTACATATCCTTGCACAAATCTGGGCAGAGTAAGAAGATATGCGGTGGTTTGTTTATTATGCCGTCAAGTTTCACGATTTTACCGTATTTGTCACGCAGCATCCTCATCATCGTCAGAACATTCACATTATAGTATTCCCCTGCATCGTATACATCAATAAATAATTGATTTTTATATGTATTGTGAATGGAAAGAAGGATCAAGAGGAAATAAATTTTATTTAAATTTTAAATATAAAGCTCGCGAATTTGAATTTATTCATCATTTGTCATAATAACAATTTGCCTAAAATTTTTATGTAACTGAAGGTCATATTGAAATAAAAATAAAAAAGAAACCCCTACTATATGTGGCTCATTATCATTTGCTTATTAACAGTTTTATGTAAAGGTATATTATTTATATAATTATATAACTTTAATTTTTATTTATATAGAAAGTTTTATTATGTGAAAATTTAAATTTAAATTAGATGAGCAACGATTAACGATAACGATTTTGTTATTTTAGGAATTGATGAGAGTGCTCTTACCATATGGCATAAATCTGAACCAGTTGCCAAACAAAGGTAATGCTTTCGGACCAGGAATATCCTTAGTTGATCGCGCGTGTTGTAGTTCGTTATTAATGTTCCTTATTTCATTGTATTCTGTTGAACAACCTTTGATTGATCTTGCATGATTTTGCATTGCTAAGTGCAAGCATGCATTAATTTCACGAATGAAAAACCTGATCCACGTCATATTTAACAAAATTTCTTTTGTCTTTATTCTAGAATATGATAATTAATATCTAAAATTAATTTTATAATTTTTCAAAGTATGTGTAAAATTAAAATTATATTAAAATAATTAATATTTTAATTCTTCAGAATATGCTACAGAATAAAATATACAATATAAATTTGCAAGTATATTTTTTATCAACAGGCTATTGCATATATCTAGATTTCTCAATTAATGAAATATCCTAAAGCGAAAAATACATACCGTATTAGAATGTGAAATTGTCTATTTGTTTATATCACAGTGTACATGAATGCACTGTAAGAATTGAAAACAATATCTGCAGGATCCTACACTAAAATATTATATAAAAAGTATTAAAACATACAAAAAATACGAAAAAATTAAAAACCTTTTGAGACACACATTTTTATAGATTCGACATTCTTTTGATAGACAGCTGTTCCTTTGAACGTTAAACAAGAATTAACTGATTTTTAAAAATTTGTTTTTGATGATCTATTGTTGACCTAAATGATATTAAGATCCGTTGTTTCTCGACTCGAATTTAGCGAATCACAATAAACATAAATATTTAATAAGTCACAGAATATCAAATCAAAATTTCACTTTTTTTTTGCTTAAAAACACAGAAAAATTGTATTCTCTACAATGTATGGAAAAAGCCTTTTTTACTTTCAACCAATCTTTCTTTGCTAAAATTTCATTTGTTTTCTTTTATCTCTTCTAATTTTTTTTTGTAAAATCATTCATTTAAAAAATTAATCAACTTAATAATTCTTCATTAACATAAAATTTTAATATGCCTTTATGCAGTGATAAGGATTAAAAAAAAAATAAGTTTTTTTCAAGTTTGATTTTATGATTTTGTCTCGAATAGTAATGTTTTATTGTTAAAATTATTTTGCTGTTATCATACAAATAAGAATACAATAAAATATAATAATTACAAAATATATACATGTATGTATATTTATTTTCATTATCATCCATAATATATCACATTTATATATATAAAATCACAATATAAAATAATAAATTTATTTCATTAATACATTTAATGTAGCTAATTTGTACTACTCTCTAGTAGTTCTTGTGCTCGAAAACAATCACTTACAACTTTCCACTTATCACCCATAGCCGTAATTAAAAAGGTTTGATTAAATGATTTTGAATTCTTATCGTCATATTTGACTTGGCCACATACTTTGACAAGAAATGTTAATTGATTAGCTACTTCTGGACCTATCATTAACAAACAGAAAAAGAATTAATATAAATAGTATACTCTGATATGACGTTTGAAAGTTTAAACAAGAAAATAAAAATATAAATATTATAATTATATAAATATTTAAACAAAATTTAATTAAATATTATATAATACAATATAATACAATAAATTCAATTCAAATTATAAAAATTAAAATATAAATTATCATAAAATAGTATGCAACAAAGCCAATAATTCTAAATATTTAGTTATGATATTTAGAGTGCTTTCTTATAATTTAAAAATAGAATAATTATTAGTATTTACTTGTTATTGGTTGTGCATCAAGAGTATGAATAGTATGTTCTGAAGGTGGCAGATCTGTCCAGAATTTTTGTATATTATCTTTGCCTGTTACACCATTTCCATTCCATATCAGAGTAGCAGTATCCATATACATTCTTGAAATTAACTAAAAATATGTGGTTAATATATGTGGTTAATATATATAATAGAAAAAAAATAGAATAAAATTATTAGACAATATTATTATTACTTACATATCTCCGCTTGTCTAAAGACTCATAATACAGTTTTGAGAAATCTTCTGCAGTACGACAAGCTTGGTCAATTTTAGCTTTCAAATCCTATAAAAATGAGCATATATGTAAGAATTATCAACAAAAATAATTAAACATTCTAAGTACATAAAACATTAGTATAATGGTATTTAGAATACTATCCTTATTTCGAATCTTAATAAAAATGTATTCTTTCGTTTTCATTCAAAACGAAAGAATCCAGTAGAAAAACGTGGTAGTCTGTTCCACAAAATAAATTATTATGCATTAAAGTTCAAGATTTTAAAAGTCAAGATACTTGTCACTAACTAGATACTAATTAATCTTTAATATTTTAAAAAATATATCACAATTTATACATACATACATACATACATACATACATACATACATACATACATACATACATACATATATACATACATACATACATACCCCTCCCCACACACACACACACACGCGCGCACACGTACACACACCAATATTAATACCAATATTAACACCAATATTTTAAACTTTATAACAAATATAGTTATATAGTTATATTTTTATATATTTTATATCTTTTTGGATTTATATATTTTATATTTTTATAAATGTAAATAAATCTTCATCTTACAAAATAGATAAATTGCGCTGTAGTCCAATATCAATTGACTTCTAAAAATAATCTCTGCTTTAATTACAAAAATTACAAAGAAATTTTTACAAACACAAATTCTCAATTTTAAAAATACAAACTCTCTACTCTAAAAACAAAAATTATATAAGAAAATAATTTGTGTTTTTAAAAGATATTATTTAGAAGATATTTTTTAGGAATTAATTGATTAATTGATGTTGGCAGCGCAGTATTATTTAAGTATTTTGTAAGACAAAGACTTATTTACTTTATGAAAAATATAAAATATCTATCTAATCTAATAAATATATCTATTATAAAATTTAAAATATATATATATGTGTGTGTGTGTGTGTGTGTGTGTGTGTAAATATAACATGTGATATATTTTTTGCAAATATTATAGATTAATTAATATCGAACCAATACAACAAATATCTTAACCTGTAAAGCCTCAAACTTTAACGCTGATAACTTATTTCGCGAGACAAATCACCGCGTTTTCTGCCCGATTCTTTCATTTTGATTGAAAATGCATCAAATGATTACATTTTTATTAAAATTTGAAGCAAGGAGAGTACTCTAAATAAATACTTATATTTTAATGTCAAAATGTTAGATTATAATAAGCTGCAAAATTTATTTAGGATTACATTATTTTATTTAGGTTATACAATATCACGATATATATGTATATACACTTAATTTCTTAACATAGCATATCGCAATACCTGTTCCATTTTTACTTTTGAATATCCATACGTAATTATCACAAGACGTATAAAATGCAACAACGTAACATCAGCGATTATAGCTGGATTCCGAAAAGCGCGTACATTTATCTATAGTTCATGTCACGTATACTATATCAAAATGCGCGCGTAATGCGCTTATATATTTTAATGTTGAAAATGAGCACAACCTTAGATCTGTTCTACAATGCATTGTGTGTCGGTGTTGTGCCATAAGAATGGGCCAATCACAATCAAGTATTCTCCCCATATTCGATTGTGATTGATCAATTCTTGGCTTGCGGCTTGCGACACCGACGTGCGATATATTGGCTGGGTTCTGTAAAGCGCATAGCGCGCATTTTATATATTATACCTGACATGAACTATAGATAAATGCGCCCATATGCGCGGAATCCAGCCATTGTAGAATAAGCCTTACAATCGCATTCATATAAAGCATGATATTTTTGTCCAATCTTAAAATCTCACAGGAAGTTCTTTAGTGTTGGTTCCATGTTGGTATGATGTCTGTCGGTATCTGTACGATTTCAAGATGTTATGATTTATTTATTTACTACCATATCGCGATGGCTGCGTTCAGCAGAAAAAGCAAATCAGTGAGCATTCGATGATTTTTCAATATGATTAGTCCTTGCTTTTAGATCTTCGTTGAATCTAAATGTAAAAACCAATCAATAATAAAGAATCACTGTACGCTCACTGATCTGCTTTCTCTGCTGAACACAGCCGATGTAAATAAGATAAAAGCCGCAGAAAGAGTCGTAATCGCAGTCGTAATTCCAACGCACAATGAATTGATGTAGACGTATCCTCCAAGAGAAAAAGAGAAAGAAAGAGAGAGAGAGAGAGAAAGAGGTGTGTGTAGGAGGGGGGAGATACGCGATATTGCACATTTTGATAAAAATATTTATAAATAATAATTTTTAAATATTGATACAATTGTAACATAAAAATCTAGAAAATTAACTTGCAATAATTTACAATGAGATGATGATTTCTTTATTGTGTATTAATATATTTGAAAACGAATATATATATATAAACATATGATGATAGATATATGCATATCTCTATACACACGTATATGGATATGGAAAAACTTTTCTTAATCTGTTTTATTTGTTCGCAATAAAACAAATTATTCGATATACAAGTAAAAATGGATTTCCAATTTTTCACTTTTTTATTTTCATATGATTTTGATATTACAATATTATATTGTAATAACTTTATCGGTCTCCATTGCATGTGTCAATTGCTTGGAGGAATAATTAATTCGCGTTGTTTAAGGTTTAATCAAAGTATAACTATCAGGATAAACTTAAAATGTTCAATTCATTCACATTCAGATTCAAATATTCGCGCGACAGAT